AAAATTCATATTTAACAAAAAATATGGTTTTCTGCAAAAGTCTTATGCTACTACATGCAACCCCCCTGTTACTTAAGTACATCCTGTTTGGGCACTTTTAAGTTTTTCCAGCGCCTCAAAACTACTTTGTATTTTTCACTCTCCGTTTTGTCAGATAATTTTTTTAAGACTACCCGCATAACCACAGCAGTTCCTGTTTCTTTGTCTTCACCTACTAGGAGATCCAGTGTGTCACCAACTTTCACCTGGAAACAGAAAGAGAAGATGAGTGATTATAAACATTCTTGGGGGAAAATAAATCCCCACAATCTATATCCAATTTAATTTTTGTTCCTTTTTTCCATTTAATATTCTTATCTCATAGGAGAGGAGGAAGGCAGCCAATACTACACCCTTACAGATCCTCCAGCTATAAACTTCTAGGAAAGTCAAGGCAATATGCAATTAAATGTCTCATGACCTTCCCTGCCAAAAGTTTCACCCTTCCTGTTACAATACCAACACCTAATTTGTGAAAAAGGTGTAATGTATGGGGTTTTTTTCCTGAAGTGTGCTTCCCACCAATCTTTCTCTATCATCACAGACACAAAATAGCAAAATGCAAAGTTCTCACTCCTGCCTTTAAAACAGTTTAAAGTGTTTTAAAGAACAGAGGGCTCACCAACTGCTTGTGCTCCTCTCAAAGGTCACAGAAGCAGCACACCTTTCGAAAACTAGCCTTAACTTAATGGGATCAGGAATCAAAACTTCTCATCATACTGCCCTTTGATGACCACCATGGATCACCCTCACATAAAGAAAAGGCGGGTAGAAGTATGCTTGCCACCATTCTGGTGAGCTCTGCTGTCAAAGGAGTATGGCCTGCAAGCCTTCTGGCTCTTCTCCTAACTGGTCCTGAGTGCTCTACTACAGATACAATAACCATCCCTGAGTTACCCCACTTTCAAACCCTTTCTATCATCAAACTTCTTCTTTAATCATGTGCCTTCTTCACCAATAGCTCAGATTTAATCATTTGTACTCCATCAACCTCGTGTATATACCATCACTTCTTTCAGCAACTTAAAACATCCTGTCCTTGCTGCCTTCTCCTGACTTTCAGCCTTAGATTTGAATCTCCAGCAACACAACTCTCCTGTCTGCCTTAGGGAATAAGGTTTTACCAGGGGAATCATACTCACAAACACCCCTCCAAAGCTGGAATGGTGCTATGCATTCACATTTGCAGGGTGATTTAGAGGGAGAAGGTCATGCCTTAACTATTTTCTTGTACCGTATTAAAAGGATTTAAATTTTAAAAAGCCTTACAGTTCTACTTTTCTTCCACAGTTTTTCTCCATTCAGCCTGAGTTCGTTATTGTAGAACGCATCTTCTACTTTACTGAAGAAAAACAAGGTCTTATTGCAGTTACAGCATGCAGCAAATAAAATGCAATTGCTTTTCTGCAGGTACACACCACCACTGAATATTCACATGCAAGGCACATTTCCACAGCTCTAATTTATGCATAAAGGACACCTTTATTTATAAGGTCAGTACAGACCTGAACTGGAAGAAAAAGTCTTTCACAGATATGAAATGAAATAATAGCACATAGTTGCTCTGTGCCAGAAAAGTTGTTTCTACAGATCTGTCTCCTGAATACCCAATGAATAATGTACCCTTTCCTGCACCAGCCAGCTTAATAATTTTTAAGTGATCAAGTTATATTCTGTTCTAACAACATTGAAATATAAGGCTTCTGTAGGTTGCGTAAGATCAAGTGTGTGACACGTTTACAGACTGCACATTTACCAGTTGGACCCGGTACATTAGGTTTGTATTTACCATCACCTATTTCTCCAGCCATCTCAGATTAGATCTTTTTTGTATTACTCAGTATTTTGCATTTTCTTCATTTAAAAAAAAAATAAACAGTAACTGACAGAGAATGTCCCCTCAGCAATCTTAGAAATACTGCAGACAGGAAAAGGCAAAGTTAGGCTGTTTCAAGGGAGGTAAACTGAAACAAACAGGAACAGCCATACACCCAAAACATATATTTAGACAATCAAAACATCTACACCATAAGAAAATCCAAAGACTGGGTTATTCCAGCAATAAAAGGTTAACAAAAGTCAAATTAAGGATGCATGACATCTTTCTTACCAGCAAGTTGTTTCTTCTGTACTTACTTTCTTGCCATGTCTAGACCAGCTTTCATGATCACATCATACCGAAGAGACTGCACTACTTTTTCGAGATCCTTGTAATCTTTTACTATGTTGGGGTCGTTTTCATATTCATCTTCCAAATCGCTTTCCTCTTCATCCTCTTCTTCCTCTTCTTCTTGTACAGTTTGTCTGCTCCTTCTAGAGCTTTTGTTACTTTTGTTCCGCAGAGAAAGTACTGAGATATACTCTGGAGAAAGTCTTAGTGCACTGAGTTTGACTGGGGAAAAACTGAAGCATCTTCTGTAGTTTACTGTGCTTGCTTGACAGCTACACAATATGCTTCTCCTCCAAGAGGGATACAGTCTATTTGAGGGGAACTTCTCCCACAGTCCGAACCAGATATTTAGTTTTCTAAAAGCCGTGATGGGGAGTCTGAAGCCAGTCATAGCATACCCTAAAATAAATCAAACATTCATATGTAAAAATGAGCAACTGCTTTGACTATTGGAAGGATTTCCTCACATACAGAATAGTAGTTACTACAAAAAGATGATTATCTAGTTCCCTGTACAGCAGTGCATCACCTAAAGGCACAAGGCTTTATAGGTGGCTTTATGATCTGCCTTTCTCATACGCTGTTCACCATTACAAAGAGCTAAAACACCAGATGAGAAACAAACACAAAAAAAACACAGTGGAAAACTCCTTTTCTGGTGCTCAGTATTAAATGTCCAAACACATTGGTGGCACTTTCCTCCCTACATCCGAAATACAGTTCACAAAACAAACAGAAATTAAGTTAACGATGTCATAAAAAGCACAGGGAGATCTATATCTCTCATGAGTCATTCTCAAGTTCCTGAACACTGCAAGCAAGCAAACCCAGAGAAGCCAAAAAGCCGCTTAACTTCAGTTTCTGTTTGGGCCACAACACTGCTGTGTGGCAGAATGCTGCACAATGTCCCCTGTTTCTCCAAATGGTAGCTGGCACCAGGATAGAGTTTGGGAGAAATAACACAGCTCTGTGTACTGCAACAGGACAGAGGCCAGCAACAGCAGCTTCATGTGCAAAGCTCCCCGGCGCTGCTCCCCTCCGGAGCCATTCCCGACCTGGGACCAGAAGGTGGAAACAACCCACAAAACCCCAGATGTCTTTCAACGCCATGAGAAAATGATTTACAGTCCTTACTGCGTAAGGGTGTTGCTCTGGCTTTTATTATATATGGTCTTATATCCGTGAAAATACGTGTTTCTTCATGAGGCTGGAGTTTTCCCCACAGCCAAATGACCTCTGCTGAAACGTGAAATGAGGCGGTTTTTGTGGTTGCGGAAAAAAACCCTGATCAACGAGGGCAATTATTAGCCAAATAAAAAAACACCAACCACACCTCCCCCCCCCTTTTTTTTTTTTTTTTTTTTTTTTTGGGGGGGGCTGTGTGTGTGTGTGTGTGTGTGGTATTTAAATGTAAGACATATAGCTCAAATTGGAGTATGGTACAATCCTCGCAGAGTAAGACATCCGCCTCTCCTTAATTCGCGGACAAACTCCTAGAGCAGTTATTTGAACGTGTAAACAATTATTATTATTGCTCATTTTTAGCGCTCGACCTTAGTTTGTTCCCCGCTGGCGAGTGGGTACAAGCGGGCCCGGAGGAAGGGCGCCCTCTCTCCCCCGTTAGAGCCCTCGGGCGGGCAGAGCCTCACCCACCACCCCTGCCCGGGCGGGCCCCTGACCCGCCGTCGGGGCGCTCGGGGCCCGGGCCGGGCAGCTCCGCCTTCCATGGCCGCTGCCCCGGGCGGACCGGGCCGCCCAGGCCTCACCGCCACCGGAGGGGCCGCGCCGGCCCCGCCGCGCCCCGGCCCCGCCACCTCGGAGCGCGGCGCGCCCGCCCCGGCCCTGCCGCGGGGCGGCCCGGCGGGCACGGCCTTACCTGGGAGCCGCGGGCGCCTCGGGCCCCGCCGCCGCCGCCGCCGCCGTCCCCGCACCGCCGCTCGCCGGCCGGAGGCGGAGCCGGCGCAGCCCGGGCTCGGCGCCCTCTGCCGGGGCCCGGGCCCGGCGGACCACACGGTTCCTGAGTGTCTTCGCAGCCTCCTGAGCAGCCCGTTCGGTGCACGGTCACCCCGCACACGCAAGAAGTTCTTCCTCGTGTTCAGGTGGAACTTCCCGTGCGTCGGTTTCTGCCATCGCCTCGTGTCCTAGTTAGTGGTTGGCACCACCGAGAGAAGCCGGGCTCCATCTTCTCGGGGGCGCTCCTTTAGATATTCGGCGGTGTCTCTCCCCTTCTCCTCCCCCGTGCCCGCCGGTTCGGAAGCGGAGGCCGGAGGGGACTGGCAGAGAGGCGGAGGGCGGTGTGTACCCTGCCGTCCCCTCCACAGCCCCGGGACGGCAGGGCCCCAGGAGGAGCCCCCTGCGCTCCAGCCTCTGCCCCCTCCTCGGCCGGGAGACGTGCCCAGCCACCGCGGCTCTCCCGCCCCACCGTCAAGCCTCCGAGTGTTTCCCTTTTTATTTTTTTCCGGTTTTCTCGGGATTTTTCCCCCCTGTGTTTTCAGACCCTCATGCTGCGCCCACGTGCCTAAAATAGAAAACAGCGGAAATGCTAGTTTCCCGACCACAGATTAATTTGAGAGGCTTGGTCAGCATGACAGTGTAATCCAAACCCCACTGTGGCCTGAGTTCCCCCTTATCTTTCTTTCCTTCACACTACATCTCCCTCTTTCACTCCCCATCTCAATTACCGATGGTAATTCCTTCTCTTCGTTGTGCAGAAACTAGGAGAGGTCCATTCCGTCTTCTGCCTTCTCCCAGATTTCTCTCTGCCGTGCAACAACTGCATCCCTCTCTTGGTGCTTCTGAATGCTCCGATTGCTGAGCATTTGGGGAATTTTCTGTATCCTAACAGAACGGGTAGAAAATACATCTCTGCCAGATTGGCAGCATCTTGCCCTGATGTAGATGGCTGCACAAGGTCCAGGATAATTCTGGCAGATGAAGAAGCTCCTCAGCTTTACAGTTCTGCTTTAAAATGCTCCTGACAGATCAATCCTCCCTTGGAAGATTATCGGCAAATCTGAAAAGTGATGTAACTGTGGACTACTGCTGCACAGCAGCTGTGCAATGAGCACATTATAAGTGATTGTTTAATTTTACACCCGTATAAACTTTGCCATAAAATGTTTGAATGGGAGTTTTTTATGTCAGGGGTATTTTGTAATGAAGCAAGTAATTGACAAAGCTATTTCCCCTCCCTAGGAACCTCACGGGGAAGGAAGCTTTGAATGTCTTTATGTCTTTATTTTGAATGTTCCAGTGACCCGCTATGAGAGATTCTGACCAATATCAATTGGGAATATAAGTGCTAACTTTTTAGCACTTTCCCCCTATATGTCTTAAAATATATATACATATTTACTGAGGGATAAAAAAAGGTCGGTAAGAGTAACTTTCTTGCATTCGTAATGGCACATAATGAGTCAGAACAGAAATTAATGTCTAGAACAGTGGGGAATCCCTGAGCAGAAATGTTACCTCCTCTTTGGGGGAAAAACCCCCACACCGAAAACTGAGCGAAAACCACCCCAAACCTAGCTTTCCTTACACCCCATTCTTCTCAGATCTCTTGGAATTCGATTTGTCTTATGTAGGGTAAAAGCCATGACCTAACGTTGCTAAAAGTTAACTTACTCTTAGTAAAGAAAGGTTAATCACGCATTATATATTTTATTGTTCCTTCATATTGAAAGGCAAGGTAAAGAATGTGTCTAAAATCACTCTGTCTCTTATATTTTCAAGTATGATGATATAGTGGCATCTTACAAAAGCAGAAATTAATCAGCCACAGAGCAAATGTGACTTGGATGTCATGAACAGGTATCATGCATCTGATTTATCTCATCATTGCACAACCCCAAACAGGGACATCTTGCTTCGTTTCCTAGTCCAGCTTCATGAGTGACTGTTCTAGTTTTACTAGTTAGAAGGTACATCTTATTATTATTATGTCTCAGTCACGAAAGCAGATGCTTACTAAGTGGTTGTTTTCAGGATTCATTCAGACCGGGACCACAGAGGAACTTCAGTGTCCCTCGGATCTTATTGTCAGACTTCGTCCATGCCACAGAGCACAGGGGCCATGAAACCCCTAGCACAAGATTTGTACTACAGTTGTGTGACGGCCTGGGAACTTCCAACCTGAGTCAGTTAAGGGCATTTTTTAAATTAAAAATGCAAAAAAAAGAGTTAGTAATCAATAATTCTTCTTTAATCATGTGGAACTGTAATTAAAACCAAAACGTTCTGACAGGGTGAAGACCTCAGTGTAATTTTTCTGTTCTCCCAGTTTGCCATTAGATGGCAGCGAAAAGCTCCTCTCAGTGCTGCCACGGGCTTAGGCTTCCTTCGCAAGAGGCTTTGCTCAACCTCAGACCGGTCATACCTCTCTCTGAGAAGGATGTTCTTTAAGCTGCTTTCAGGTCATTTGATTTTCTTTTTTTTTTTTTAAATCATAAGACACCTCAGCAACATACAGTCGAATGTTTCAGCTTTGGTAAGAAACAGTGATCATTCACCTCTGGCAGATAGTGGCAGTCTAATTTTTTTTATTAATATTATTTTTTTATTAGTCTAACCAATATGTATTCTTCTTCCCAGAGCTATTCTCATAGAATTGCTTCTTTCCTTCTTTTTTTTTTTTTTATTTTTTTTTTTTCCGGTGGAGTCATCTTCTCTCTAGGAAGGGTAATTCCTGTCTTGTTTATAATTTTCTTGTTGTGTATTTCCCTTTGACATTCACTCACAAGAAGACTAGTCTTTTAGGTTTGGCTACTCAGAGAGAAAATTCTCAATAGCTTTTGACCTGTGTGTTGGGTTCTGTAACTGGGAACTCCCTACCCACTGCCTAGGGTTTTTTGTTGCCTTTGTTTTCCTGCAAGGTCTGTCAAGAACAGGCTCCCCAGGGAACTGGTCACAGCACCAAAATTGACAGAGTTCAGGAAGCTTTTGGACAATACCCTCAGGCACAAGGTGTGACTCCTGGTGATGGTCCTGTGCAGGGCCAGGAGTTGGACTCGAGGATCCTTGTGGGTCTCTTCCAACTCAGCATGTTCTGTAATTCTGTAAAGTGACAGCAGTAGATCTGCTGATACTCATTGCATCTCAAAGTGAAGAGCACCATGTTGCCATTCAAGCCCTATGAGTAGCTCTGACTAACATTCTGCAATGCACATCTCACCAGATTACTTGTCACTGCAGATTTAGCTTCAGCATTGCGTTGTTGAGACCACATGCCTTTTAAGTTGCACTGCTTATTTCAAGGTGTACTGAGAAGGTGATTGGGCAGTGTTTTATGCGTGTTTATGCTGCCTGGGAAAACACAGTGTCCCCATGTGAGCATCACCTTTAAGTTTGTCCATATTCATTTGAATAATGAATTCCCTGACCGCTAATTCACCTCCTCCAGTGTTACACCTACTGTAACTGCTTAGATATTCTCTTTTCTTAGTCCATAGCCTGGAAACAATTCCCCTATCTGGTTAGTTGGTCTGTGACTAAATAATCTTACCAACTCTTTCTCTAAAGCCCCTCTCTGAAAAATAATCTTTCGTGCAGGAGAGGCTCTCTTTCTAGCCCTTCCCGTACTGCCTTTTCAGTTGGCACTGTGCTCTAAACTACCCTTTTCTCACACATTTGCCCATATAATCTACTGTGCTAGTTTTTACTATAAAACAGTGTGCTTATTCTCTTTAGGATACCTTTAATGTATCCAGCTGTTATATACACTGAAACTTGACTCTCTTTCTCTCTACTTACCTACTCTTCATGTTGCTGTTTCATCTCTTGCAATAACAAATAAATATGAACTTCTGTCCATTTTTTCTTACAGCCACTTTGACCTCCTGCACAAAGAATCCCTTTCCAGAAGCAAGCAAGATTTCTCAAAGCACCTTTGATTGCAGCCTACTTATTCCTTGAAAACTCATCTTCGACATTAAAGATGGATAATTAATGGAGTAAGGTAAGGTGGATGAGTTTCAGGTATTGGGTTTTTTTTATTTTGTATATTGCTAAAGTAGCGTTCTCTTTTTTTATTCCTATCCTTTTCACTATCTGACTAATTTGGCTTCTGTCTGCCTGCTGTCTTTTACAGAAGAAGGCCACACTGAGTCATAAGAAGAAAGAATATGGAGGTGGGAAGTGTAGACTGCTCTGATCAGCACTGCAGAAGTGATAGAGGCCACCCTAATCAGTCAGAGCAGGGCGACCCACCTAAACCAGAAATACGTAGCTGCCTTGCCACTGAAAACTGGTGTTACATCACTGGGTAAGCAAATGAGAGAAAAACAGTGAGTAAGTAACTTCAGTCAGTCTGGTATTAAATCCAGTTACACTAAAATTAAAGGCTCTGCAGTTCCACTGCTAATTCTTAAATTTCCCAATTTGGTGAGAGGTTTACAATGAGATTTATTTGGTTGTTTCCCCATCACTTTCTTGTTTGCCACTTCTCTAAAACATGATTTTCTTTTGTAGGAAAAGTTAATATACTCTTTCCTAAAAAGAGCTTTGAGACTTTCATTCTTTTGTAGTGAACGTGCTCAGGCCCTGCTGGTGTTGGTTGCTGCTCTAGGATTTATCTAGTTACCACTAACAGCGGGTGGCAAATAAAAAGGAAAAGCAATGAATTAAGCAGTCATTCTTTGAACCTTATTTATTAGGCATAAAACAATGTAGTCCATGAGCAAATGTTAATTAGTTTGAATTATTTGTTGACTTCTGTGTTGCCTCTGTATTCTCCTCAGATTAATGACTTTAGTATTTAGGAAATAATGTTCTCTTCTCTAATTGATAGTAAATAGTTCAATATATACACAGGAAAGGCCTGTGCAAAGTGCTTCATCTTCCATTGTGACTAAGGAACAAAGTTGTCTTGATTACCATTTATAAACATTATTACATTAGGAAAGAAAAATTTAACTGCTGGTGTCAATACACCTTTGAGAGATATATATATGTAAAGAAATAATGTAAATGAAGGTGCAATAGGGAGGGATAGAATATCAGAATAAGCATATTACTTGGTGTCAAGGCTGTCTCATCCTTTCATGGTGTCCAGCTCCAGAGGTATAAAAGATGTGTAAATTGCACTGTGGAAGATCTGGGATGATCTGTCTCCCATGGAAGTGTGTCCTTGCAACACTAGCTGTCTAAACTCTGGGAGTTCTCATCACTCTGTGACTACCCCTTCTCTGCTCCTCTCCTAATGATACCCTGTGATACAGCACTCACCATCTGAAAGATACATGAAGTCTTAACACTCATAGTGACACATGATACGTTTCATTAGTTCATCTTTTCAGATCCTAGACCGCTCCCTTTTTCTATTGTGAAGGGGGAAGAAGAGCTGATCTACCTTCTAGAATTTGGCCGTTTGTACACATTTTAATAATATTTGCTCTTATTTTGGCTTATAAAATAAACAGTTCCAACTTAATATCTTCCTGTTTATCAGATTTCTCGATGGTTCATTCTCATTATTTTGTTGTCTCTGCCTGTCCCGTACTCAAACTAGAAATTACCTAGAAAATGTTACGAAAGAATAAGCCTTTCAGGATGCCATCCAGGAGTCATGACTAGGAGTGAATTTTGAAACTGAGAACTCTGTACGGTAGCTTGCTTTTTCATGTAGACTTTTTGATAACCACGTGTAAAAATCTGCCCTGTCAAGTGGCAAAGAGAAGGCAGCAAATAAAGATAAAAAATAAATTAATAAAAAACAACAACTCCCAGACAAGCAAACAAAAGCAAAACAAAAACAAAACCAAGCAAACAATAACAAATAAAAAAGAGAATCAGAAGCATACCAGATTCAAATTGCAAGGTACAGATGTTCAGCACTTCTCAAAAGAAGGTAAAGGCTTCCATTGCCATCAGAAAAAAAAAAATGCTTCATATGCAGGGCTGAAAACATAGGTCTTTATAAGTGTCAGGGGTACAAGAAATCCCTTCAGTCATAAACTAATGATGGTGATTAAAATGACTAATAAAGATGCAGAGGTTTTCAGTGTATGTTTTTTTGTTTGGAAAGAAGCACAGTGAAGTAGCAGTATAGGATAAGGATAACTAATTTTTATCCATTGGTAAGAGAGGTAATGCAAAAAATCGTATCCGGTGGGAGAAATCACAGGCTTACAGAGCTAGTGCTCAAGCTAATGGTGAGAAGAACTTGGTTACACTACTTGCAATTACTAATAAGTCTCATGATAGAAGAAAAATTCAAGGAGATGGGAAAAGTGCTAACATTGCACTATGGCTCAAGACCTGGAGTGAGATAATCTCAAAGTTGCATCAGACCACAAACATTATGAAGCTGATAAAGGAAAAAAAAAAAAATAGACAAATTTCTTTCCAAGCTCCATCAGCAGAGTTGTCGAATGCTAAACTCTCATCTTGAGCAGAGTGTGCTGCTTTGAGAAACATGGTCTAATGAAGACAGATTTGAGAGAATACAAAGGAAAATGACAAGAATGCATTGAAGTCCTGTGGAGAAAGGTTGAAGGAACTAAATCTGTTCCTCAAAATACAGGAAAATACAGTGGCAAATGTCTGAGCTAATCATCTACACTCTTGTGGCAGTCAGTGATGTTGTCTGTTTTAATTAATTAATCTGTTTTAGATGTCTATGTTGAAATGAGGTGAATTACCTCACAGAAGCACTTGTTTCCCTCCATCGTCTATCAAGAATTTCCAGGGAGACTCACTTAGATGTAGATGACTGCTGTCATGCAACCCTTCCTTTCTCCTCTCAATGCAAAGTGCTTGATATGTTCCAGCAAACACTTTGTTACAAATCCGGTCATATTATTATCTGTGTACTTTACTGTGCAATGTGATAAATCATTTCTTTAAATTTGCAGCAAAGAGGACTTTGCGTTAAGAGAAATATTCTGCAAAGATAGTTTGGCAAAGTAACAGGAGGCCTATGGGCCACGGAATAATACTGTTCACTGATTTTTTTCTGAGAGTTGTGTTTAAACTTGCCTCAAATCAGACAATGGAATAAATGACCTTTGATCATTTTTACTTCTTCATGTCTATAGACCTGTTATCTGACATTATGCCTCATGAGTGAAAGAAAGCCCTGTCTTGGTTTCAGGGGTTGGCCCAGGCCAGGGACAACTACCTACCACAGCCCATTTAGATTCAGTCTCCATTTTCTGGAGGCTGGGGGAATTTAATAGTATCAACAGGGCTAGACATGTCAGTTGGCCTCTAGGCCAAAGAACAGGCTCTGCTGCCATTTAATTTGTTTGTACTGATGTCACCTAAGAGTTTGTTGGCTTAGGGAGAAAGGTGTGCTTTCAAGCAGCTCTGAAGCCACACCTAATTGTGTAGGCTGACACCATCCCTTGAAGTCTACCCAGAAGTCAAAAGATTCATGGGCATTAGGACAGCAACTCTTACACGTTTCTTCTTGAGACTGTTTCTGAAATCACAATTTCAGTTCTGATCAGACTTCCGGACTTATGATTCCATGGCTGGAAATCATGGCTTTGTTTAATTTCCTAACTGTATACTGCTGACTAAGAAGCTTTTGGTCTCGGACACAGAAGGGAAACAGCGGCACTGCTGGGATCCTGGTGTACTGAGGCTCTGCATCATGGCAGCAAGGTCCATGTCTGAAGACATGTATAGTGGAATCCAATCAACATTTATTACCAAGTGGGGAACTACAGTACCACCAGCCATGCCTTCCATTAAAAGTTCTACTAATATAATTTTAATATCAATCCTCCACTGGAAGAGGAAATGCAATTCTCAGTATATATTCCAAGTTCTTACCCAAGACACGTGCCAAGCGGCTTTGTCTAGTTGTCTAAAATCAGTTTCGACCGGTCAGCTCCCATCAGTATTTCAGTCTTGTTCTGGTTTGACAGTGAATGTGCAACTGTAAGGAAGGATGCTTCAAAATAGCTGGCAAATTTTGATTATATGGCTGGAGCTGCTGCAAGATAGGTCTTTCCACAAAACAAGCAAGAGAAGGGCCAGCCTAACTACTGAAAAGGCAGTGTTCCTATATATTAGAAAATACTGACCTTTTTCTCAAGGCAAAATCAATATGCCAAAAATTGACATCAAGGAAACATGTCACCAGATGATGTTAGCTTAGATCAGCATATATGGGCTAGTTGATGCACACTGCAAAGCTGGATTTCTCTCTTCAAATCTGTCCTTCGAAGAAAAAGGCCAGGTTCTCATATATAAATTTGTATGTTCACAGATGGGCATTTGCTAAAATAACTCATAATATGACTCAGGTGAGTACTGAGAGCTGCAGTAGCATGAGCTTGAATTGGTTGAAGACACAGAGATGAGCCAGAGGGTGTAGTAAGTCCTAATATATGCCTAGTAAGTTCTAGTCTATGCACAACCAAGGAGAGTGAAAAGCTGGTTGAGGAGCATGGGATCTAATGATTCTTACTGACAATTGATGGTCCTAAAATATTTTAGATGGATCAAGATTGGCATCTAAAAGGTGAGAGTAAATTAATGGTCAAGTCAAAGTTATTTCTCATGAATTTCACATAATGCACTTATTTTGCTAAAGCTTTTTATTTTAATTAAATGTTTTTAAATACATTACTTATCTATATCTCTCTGAGACTATTTCTCTGCCTCCTTTTATAGACAATTTTTTTTTCTCTGCCAGTCATTTTAGCTGATATTTTTTGCTAATGCATTACACAAAACAGCACAAGTTTTGCTTCTGTTCACCGAACTGAAAGCTATGCCTATTGCAAAGTTCAATTAACTTAAAAGTCACTGGTGGAATATACAGAATTACATTTAACTCAAAAGATGAAGGCAATTTTCTCCCTTCTCTTTGCTAACCTCATGAAATACTCTATATTTAACTAGGAGAGGTGCTGAGACCTATTCAACACTATATCTCAGCATGGTGAAAACTAAGAGGACACTGCTATCAAAAGCTGATTGATTGAGGGAGTATATCGTCTTTTCTGACAGAAAAATATCAGAAGTGACTTTTGGCCACCAGATAGCAGTGCTTCACTTCGTACAGTTCTCAACTCACAGTGTTCCTTGCCTTGTAGAAAAATCCATATATTGGATTCTGGTCTCTTTGCTCAGATGTATCTTTTGCAGACTTCATTATAGACTTCAGCTGGGGGGAAAAAGAAAAAAAAAAAAGTTAGAGATTTTGTAATTAGGAGTGCAGGTGATTTATATGTTCGGGAGGAATCAAGAACATTGAAGATTTCCAGATGGGAAAATTTGGTTGTATAAATCTAACAGAGCGTAGGCATTATAATTATAATTTTCTGTGACAAAAGTTTCAAAGAAAATCTTGGTCTTAAAATATTTTTAGTGCTTCTCCCTTGGTGCCAGTACATTTCCCTATCTGCGTTAGTATTTCAGGAATATTTCAGAAGGGCATGTTTTTCACTTCAGAACATAAACTTAACATAGTTTTATTATATCAGTAATTTTTAGTTTCTGCCAAATGTGTTCAAACCTCTGGATTATTCTTTATATTTAAATAAAGGAACAGATTTTACATTATTTTTAGCAAAAAGAAAGATATCCCCCTCTTTTACTGAAACTTGTTAAACTGCCAAAAGTGCAATATACTATATACTACTAATAATAATAATTAACAGTTGTATAATGTTGTGTTCATTCATGTCACCTTATAAGGACTGTGTATCATCCTAATTTTTTACAGAGTCAGTTCCAGATCAAGCAAGATGCACAGAGAATGGGAAAGGCCCTCTCACAGTTATTCCCTCATTCTTATCTGTCCCAGTGTTGATATTGAAGTGTCTCAGCTGCCACTTTAACTTGAAACAGTCAGTTATGATCCCTATGGGATCATGCAACAGCTTTATCACTTTCCTTTCTCACAAATAAGGCAGGAGAAATGATAATGGAAACCATCCCTGTCAGCTTTACACTAGAATATTCTTTTCTTTGCCTATTTTAGAGCCCTAACTGGATTCCCTTTATTTTACATCTTCTCCAGGGAATCTGTTGTCAGGATGGCGTGAACCCTCACTTTATTGTTGCGATTCACGTGACTTCCCTCGCAGGGAATTTCACCCTTGTGTAGTGTTAGGCTTGTCTACTGCATGAAACGGTGACCTTCTCTCCTGTTTGTGATTCATTTAACTGTGACAACTAAAGCAAAGTGTTTGCAAGGAAAAATAGTGATAAGAATGTTCTCAGCTTTGTCACCCCTCTCTTATTTTAGGTCCTTTGCAGTTTCCTTTTTTCTCTCCTCATAGCTATAATCAGGACAACCCATCTTCTGATTCGCAGCTTTCAGCATACAACTAATGGATATGCAGAGAAATAAGACCCTCAATTTGATTACTGTTACCATAGTTACTCTATAGATAGACTGCGCCTCTAATATTTAGGAACTGAACTCTGATTATGATCAAGGATTTATTAAAAAAAAGACGGAAATGTTACTTCAAAAGTACTTCAGACTTAGTGTAGCTCTCAGAAGCTCTTTCATCTTGGTATAAAAAACGGATTGATATCTTGAGTAGTACAGCTTATAAATTTCCTTTATTCCTTGGGAAGAAAAAAAACACTATAGCTTTGTCAGGCATTCGGAAACAATGTGAGACTTGGTATAGAATGATGTATTTTTGCCTAACACAAGTCCCAGTATCTGCAGTGCCTCTCTCCACATTTCCTGTGCTTTGGGACTGAGTTCTAGCAGTGCCCTTGGAAAATCTTCAAAAGCAGTCCTGCCCTTAAGGATGGCAAATGATTTATGGAGTGCTGCACTTGGGTATCTCCTCACACTTTGTTCTGGGATAAATACAAACCTATCCAATTTTGAAATCAGTTGATTAGTCTGAGCCAACAGGACATCTTCCTCATCTTTTATATAGAAATAACTGCTTTGTGACAGAAGAGTCAGCACATTGGTGTCTCTTTTTTGTAGTTTATAATGTGGACAAAACTGTTTTTGTTCATCTGTCTGTACACTGAGACACTTGATGGATTTGGTGAGGCATTGGCACAATGTGTCTTCAGTCAGTTAAGGGAGGAGATACAATATAACTGTAGCATTTACTGGGGCAGAAGCTAGAACCTAACCTACGCAGAGGCTACAGCTGGAAGAGCCTTCAGTTCCACTTGTTGCACAGGTTTCTTCAAGGAATAATGGTAGTAGTAACATACTCAGATCCAAAGAGCGCTTGAAATTGCAACCAGTGATCTGAGAACTAGTGGTGAGGCAGCTCTGAACAAGATGGGATCTTAACTCTTCAACCTTTCACCCACTGCTCCCGTCATTGCAAATACTTAAGCCTCTTTTACCTTTCCTTCTCTCACTCATGGTTCGATTTTTTTTTTTTTTTAAATAGAAAAAACCGGATGTTTGTATACACATAAGCTTTTCTCGGCAGCTCAACCTCCGCGGCCCTGTGCCAGTCCCTCCATACCAGAACCCGGCGCCGTCAGTAGAGAGAGGCCACTGCCCGTAAAACCCAAAGCGGGGGCAGGGGGGACAGAGCTCCCGGAGGCAGCCCGGGGAGGGGGAGCAGAGCCCGCAGCGAAGCAGGACAAGGGCCGAGGGGGAGCTAGCGACTTGCGGGGCGGCGGACACGGAGGGCGGGGGCAGAGGTGTGGGGCGGGGGAAGGCGGTGGCGGGGCGTCACGGCAGCCCGCGCCGCTATAAAGGGGCCGGGCGCGGCGGAGCGGCGCATCCTTGGCGCTCGCAGCCACAGCGGCAGGAGGGGCAGCAGCAGCATCACCGTCGCGGCGGGACAGCATCAGACGGGCATGGGGACGGCGCTGGCGGCGCGGCTCGGCCTGGGGCTCCTGCTCCTGGCCCTCCTCCTTCCCACGCAGGTGAGTCCCGGAGCGGCTCGGCGCTTCCCCTCCGCCGGCCCCCCGTGCGAGGCACGGGAGAGCGGCCACGCCGAGACCCTCCTTACGTTTCCCCGCCGCGGGAGCGGCGGAGGGGTGGGTTTCTCCGAAGGGAAGCTCCCGTCTGTGTGCGCCATCCCGGAGCCCGCCGTGGGTGGCTGGCGGCTCCTTCGCCCCGGGGCGGCGGCCCGAGAGAAGCGAGCCCGGGCAGCCTCGGCGGGGGATGGGGCGGGGATGGGATGGGCGCGGACGGGCGGCGGGGGCGAGCTCGGCGCCCTGGGATGGCAGGGGCGGTGCCGTGACTTACCCCGATTAAATTAAAAAAGATGAAGTGGGAGGCCGCCGCCTTTTTTTCCCATGGGATCCTCGAAGGAAAGCCGCGGAACCGAGGTGTGCGCGGCGGCGGAGCGTTCATTACCCCGCTGGTGAGAGGGAGAACGACCCCTCCAAATCCGAGAGAGCCCCGGGAACGCACGAGTGTTACAGTTGGAGGGCAGGAGGTCCCTGGTCTAAACCTCCCTCGACGGAGCGCGTTGGGCTTTGGATCCGGTTCTGGGGCTCGGCTCACGGCAGGAGTGGGAGGTTTAGAGGCTGAATGCATAGTCGCCAGCGCCTGGCTGCTGCGCTGGCCGAGCCTTGCCCTTGGCGCAAAGGTAATGGATGCAGGAGCGATCCGCTTCTCCGTAAGCGACCAAGCCGAGCGAGACTCCCAGATTCCGGGTCCGTGTGTTGTTCCTAGAGACCACCTCTTCCAAAAAGGTCAATAACACGGTATCAGAAATATAAACAGCAAATGAAGGTGTTTTAACTCCCCCTTCCCCTTGGTTTGCAAGGAAAGGCGTTATCCTTTTTCCATTGTGCTCAGTGGAGTCTTGCCCTTGGCAGTGATGAGAGCAGGATCAGACCCCTTCGGTTACTGGTATTTGTCACACTCACGTTAAGAAAATCTCCGGGGTCCCATGTACTATGATGTTGTCGAACTTGTCTATAAGCCCCTTCTCTTCCACACACAAATCCAGAAAAAAGGGTTTTTGTTTAACACTAAGAGAAGTTTAAAAATATATAACCAAGTGTGGAACGGTTGTGGAATCTTTGTATGAAAATTCTGGGGTGGGCTGGGACTTGCCTTTTAGGTTATTAACTCTGCAGTTCATTACTGATCACTTTCGGACCGGTTTCAACACAAACTTCCACACAGCGGTTTTTATCCAGCAGTTCTAAATTGCTTCCAGCATGGTGCCAGTGGCCAAAACCCCTAACTACCAGAAGCTTTACACCATACTTACATTGTCTATGGTATGCTTTTGCAGTAGAAAATACTGAAAGAAAATGCTTATGCAATTTTCTAATAAATTTAACTTTGAGTTCATGGCTTCAGTATTAAGGGACAATTTTTAATTTTTTTTTTTTTCGCTAAAGAAAATTTATTTTCCCAGCAGTACTAGAAATACATGAAAATTAGGACACCTTTTGTGGAGAGTATTATTTATTAAGTGAACCTCTTAAAAAAAATTTGTTTTTACTTTATTTAACTCTAAGGGCTTACCAGAATGCTCTGGTATAATACAAGGTTACTGCTACAGAACTGAAGCTAAGCTTTCTGTACTGTGCTCATTTTCGGAGAGCAGCTTTGTGATTCTTGCTCTTGTTTTCTGTTCTTGTCACATTGGAATAAAGGAACACTTAAGCTTATCTTTAAAAGTTTTCTTGTGCATATGTAGGAAATAGCTTGATATTGAAGTTATACAGAGTGGTTTTGTTCTGTCCCTGTCATGCAGAGGTATGAGGAAAAAATAATATTTTTTTAAAATTTTGCTTTCTGCCAGCATTTTTTAAAATGTGCTAATATTCCATGGTCTTTCTGCTGCACTTTTTTTTTATTTTTAATGTTGTAGCATGCTGATTGGTTGTGATTTAATCAGTATTGTTCCATTGTTCTAACTTCTGCAGTTCAGTCTACCACAGCAATATAAGAGAGACTGAAATATTAAATCCGCTTGCATAAGCCCCACCTTCCTTGAAAGGAATCCACAGTCTAGTCCCAGAAACAGTATCAATAGATTCTTGACCATTGTTTCCTCATTTCTGTGGCTTAGTCTGCACGGGCAAACAGCAATTCACGCAATTGGTTGACGGTCTTTCTTATCCTTAGATTAGTCTTTGTATATCTATCTATATATATTAGTTTTTGTATATATATTTTTGCTGTGGGTTTTTTGTTTGATTGGTTTTTTGTGTGTGTGTCCATGTGAGGTTTATATTTTTTTAAAACCTACTTACCTTCTGTTTTAGAGCAGGATTTTGATAAAGTGATAGTTATGTAAAAACATTTAGAAAAGTATTAGATTTATTTCTTTAACAAATTCCCCGTGTACAGTTCAAAATGTCTTTGTCCTTAACTGCACAATGAGAGGCACGAGCATTTGTATGTATTGTATCTGAGTACTGTAGTACTGTGACTGTGTTGCTACACATTGTTCATTACTACTGATTTGTCTTTTAATTTGAAAAAAAGAAAAAAAAAAAAAAAAGCAGTAAAAACCTTTTTTTTTTTTCCTTCCCTCTCTCTCCACCTTCTAGATCTACTGTGATCCCGCTGGAACAAGTCCAACACCTTCAAACTATTCTTCAGCAAGTTCCACTTCTCTGTCAACTGTGACAAATTCAGTGAACATTACCACCAGTCACGGACATGGAAATTCTCTTCACTCAACCACAAGTCTTTTTTTCATTCTCCCTGTTTCTCTTCTGTATTTTTGCTGTTAAGAGACTCTGGCATGGAAATGGCTACTACTCTCCACCCTGTTTCCTGAACCATCTGAGATGGCTAGATCTCTAACCCAGCATGAGAATAAATCAGTCCAAAATCCACACCAAAACAGCTTGGTTCCACTCCATACTCAAATTAGTACCAGTCTGACCTAGAGAAGCACTCAGTATTCTGACTTTCCAAAGCTGACCAGTGCAAAAAGACCAGCTTCGGCAAGGAGGTAAAATGATGAGCTCTTTCACCAAATGAGTTGGAATTCTGAAAAACAAGATGGAAGCAAAAAGAGACAGTATCGACAACCCCTGATTTAAAGCTAAGAAGAAATGCAGTATGTTATAATAAGGATGGATAATAACACTCCACTGAGGAAAAAAGGCTAGAGAGTTTATCTACCATTTAGAATAAGGACTCAAAGAGTTTTTATTTTTCATTTAAATTCAATAAGGTCAACAGGCTCATAGAACCCCTAGAAAACACAGAAAAGCTCAAATAATTCTGTTTCTTGCACAGCCTATACACTTATAACTTATGGGGTAGTATGATATATGAAAAAGAAACAATATCAGTGGAAAGGGTTTATTCTAATTTTCATTTCTATAAAATTCTTACAAGGCTAGAATAGAATACCAAATTTTTGTAAGAATCTCTTATTTAACCTCACTCCTAACCAGATGGTTAGCCAGGCAGGGCTAGTTTTGAAATAGCTAAAACCCCACCAGTTTTCATAAGAGTGGAATTATTTATGGTGGGAATTTGAATTTGACATTTTATTTAAATTGTTTGTATATTAAACCATATGTGCCAGAGAAAGGAGCTGTGGAAACATTCGAAGAAGTACCAGGAGCTTTTGGTAAATGAAGTTCAGAAAAGAACAAAAAAAAGTCAAGGGATAAATGTCTCCTCTTTCCCGTATTTCTCTTCCCAAGTCCTACCATTTACATAAGTTATTTTTGCTCCTGGAACTTTCCTTAATTATGAAGGATTTATGGAAGCTTTTGAGTAATGTTCTAGTGCTGCTTTTTTTTTTTTTCCTTTCTTTTTGGCACGAGGTAAATAACTGTTTTTTTGAAGAGTTTCAATTGTGATAGTCTACTTTAAACACGGGCTAATATTTGTGGTGGGGAGAAGGAATGGGGAGAGGAGAGCAAACCGCCAAAAAAAAAAGAAAATAAATTAAATGATTAGGTGTTTGGAATATGAAGACTGGAGTCCTAATTTAATCACTGAATTAAAAAGTTATCTTTGTACATACTACTTTTTTTTAAAATTTTCTGAATCAAAAATTGCTATACTTGCACAGATTGTTTCTGTATCATCCAACAGTTTAGAGAATAGTATCTGGTACTTGATCAAAACAAGCTTTGTTGAGGAGGTTTAACTACCTTGATGATGATATCTTGTCAGACAGAAATTAATTATGTTGATATGATCACATGTGAGTGTACATGATCATACCACTGTCTGTTGATATTTATCTCAGTATAAGATCATGTCAAACATGAGTGGCTCTCTAATTTTTTTTTTTAATACACATCTGTCTTTCAGTTACATTACCACCCATTCACAGTACCATACATTAATAGCAAACTAACAAATTCATGTCAGTGAGCGTACATTTCCTTATGCTTATCATTTGTATTCAGTAAAATGTTAATGATTGTATTTTTGTGTTTGTGTAATTATGCTTTGATTTATTAGCTACTGATTTTCATTGAAAAAAACTGTAAATAAAACAATGGACAGGCAATGCATTCTAGATGCACTTCCAGACACTTCTACAAAAACTTGTAACTTGCCTGCGTTAAGTGAATGACCTGTTAAGCAAGATGATGTATGTGATTAAAAACCTCAAGGTCTAGAAATGCTGAAGTGTAACTAGTTTTATTTCGCTGGAAGGTTTAGTGGCGCTGGGAGTCTGGATTCCACTCTGAAACCAGTGACTGAGATTTGATTAACATCTCGAGTAACTGCAATAAGTTTTCCATACTTATTACAACATCTTCCCTTTCTAAGTGTTATTATTGTTGAGGAATCCATCTGTGCAAGTAGCTCTGCTTTCATGTTAGACAAACAGTGCTTAAAGAGTTTTCCTTTATTTCCTTTTGTGGCAGTGAGTAATTTCCCTCACAACGGCTAAAGCTGGTTTTCAGCTTCTGGTTATCAAATATGTGAATTTACTGCTTGAGGTTTCTGGGTCCCACAGACACACTAACATACTAAGAATATCCTAATAATACAAACTGCACCATGCTTGACAAAGGACAGAGGCCGAAAGCGGTAGGAGTTTATGCAAAACTTTGCTGAAAAGCAAAAATTAACTAGACGAGAATTCAATAACAGATTGTCACGAACTGTAACTTTCCAAATCTGTGTCTTTGTTGTTTTTCGAGTATGCTCCTTTCTAATAATCCTTAAAAGCCCAAGGGTCTTCAATATTCTGTGTGATTATCTTTACTCCCTAAATTCAAAGAAACACATTTAAAAGCTCCTAAGCACTTAGGCATGCTGCACAGGGGTCTGTGTCTGTCAGTGGGAAAGAGGCCCCCGGAGAGGCCTCCGGAGGGAATGTGGCTCGGCAGGCCTTTGCTTATGTTCCTTTACTTTTCCAGTAGGCTGAACAAAGCCAAGGAGCAGGATAAGTTTATCAAAGCTCACTGTTTGACTAAATCTTGGAATGTGCGGGGAGTATCAAAGCACTTTGTTCCCTGGTTTAGCTTTTCTCCAAATGCTCCAGGAGAAAGTATGAAGATCAACCAACTAGCCTGGCTGTTTACCTTTTTAAATAAAATGTAACACTGAAAATAGCCTCTCTCCGAAGACAGGCAGAGAATGAGAAAGGCTGCAATGATTATCCTTAATTCTATGATATAACAGTACAGTAAAAGAAGAAGTATAAGAATGTGTTTGAAGTTTTTGTTAAATATTCAAATGAATTGGGGAATTGGGGTGCTTGGCTTATTTAGTAGCAGGCCTTTTTTTTTTTTTTTTTTAAATAAAACCAAATTGCTCTTTAATAGCATCTAAGCATAATTAAAGTCTCTCGAGTTTTTGAGTTTTCACTGGACCAGTTGACTGATTTAGAAAAATGATCTGGTAATCTTTTTTCCATTCCGTCGCAGGACAATAGAATCAGTGATGAAGAAATCCACTCAAGGAAAGAGGACGTGATGGATGTAACAAAATGGGGAAGGAGGGAAGGCGGGAGAATGGAGCCCACACATTTCACTACTATTTAATTTTTTTAAAATTACGCCCATAATAACTAGAACCAGCTCTCACCTATGTCTCTCACAAATCTGTCCAGCTGAAGTGTGTCTGGATGTATATTGCAATGACTCTGAAACAGTTCTGCTTTGTTTGCTGCATGGCACTGCTTTTGTTGCAAACATATGCTCTTCCCATACGTCCTGAATAAAGTATAGTGTTATTATTTGAATGAAATAACCTCAAATGAGAACTTACAGTTTGTTTGCAGTTTACTGTTCCTTCCTTCACCACATCATACTCTGAATACCCCATAAATTTTTTCAAACTGCAGTTTTCAGTTAGGTTAGAAATCCACAGTGACTTTGAATGAACAACTTTCATTCAACAAAAATCTCCACAAGGTGAAGTATTTTGGGCTGGATCCAATACCCCTAAGCTTCTACTAGTAGCTTCCTTGTTTTCAGCAGGATGCAGCCATGTCCCCCGAGCCTTTCTCCACACGTGACAGCAGCGTGCATGGTGATGCTGTGTTGTACTAAGGGTAGTCCCCCTTTGTCTATGTGGAGACGGGACATTATTAACACCTCAGTAAATGACTTTCCACATGAACTCAGGGTTAGTTTGACAAGCCATTACCAATTCTTAACCTAATCCATCAAACACATAGGATCTGCCTATACAATGCAAATATTCTCAAGCTAGCTGGAGACAGCAGCGTACTCTGTAATGTTATTAGTACAGTACTTAAAAAGGAATAATTTCTCCTGAGAGTAGTTCTTACACAGCCTGTTGGCCTGTGGAAGGGCTCATGAGAACAAACATTTGCAAGGCCAGGCTCTTCATCAAGGTCTTTCCAAGTCAGCATTTCCCTGTACTCAGGTTACAGCGGGCTCAGCAGGGAGCTCACAATGACACCCTGTATTTGAAAGTGAGGATCTATACAAACGTGCATGTATCAGAGGCAATTCAGAGAGATTTGCATTTTGTGTGCATTCAGGCTTATAGGGATTTGATTTCCCATACATGACTGAAATGATTTAGGTAGCAGACTTTATCATCCAGCATCTTTATTGTAATGGATACAATTGGGAATGTTTCTTGTTTTTGCATTAAAGATAACTTTGAAACAGGAGCTGTCAGCTCTGCCTTGTAGCAGCACAAAGCTCTTCATTCTAGAACACACACTACATTTGATGCACTCTAAAGGTCTACTGTGCCCCAGCAGATGAAGGGGCTGGTTATTTTAAATCCATCAGTTTATCTACAGCAGTTTGAAGAGCAGTACTAGGCTTTCTGCCATATGTGCTTTGAGATGTGTTTTCATCATTATGCAGTAGCCCCAGGAAAGATACTCGAGCCTTACTTCGGTTATCAACCTTCAGTTTTCCAAGTGAAACCCTCAGCATCCTGCTCATGAATGCATAATTGCTCTGGTTTAGACTTCGTCAAAATGTCCAGAATGGATGACCTGGAGCTGAAGAAAAAGACCTGATCAACTCCATACCACCCAATCAAAATCCTAAACTAACAAAATCTCATCTGCGAAGGGTCATTCCATTCTCTCTTGAATCCAGTAATACTCCCTGCAATGTATGTGCTGCAAGTACATGAATAAAACATATTCAGGCTTTTCAGAAGTGAACTGAGACTCTTTCTTTTATGCTTTCAGCTTAGCAGGAGCTACGCTTTAACAACTGATGGGTGTACAATATGAAAATTGAGCACACAGCAGAATTAAATCGTGGTAGCTTGGGTTTGCTGCATAAACTGAATGATCGCATTCCACCAGAATCTCTCTTGAATGACCTAGTGTGAAAAGTATTCTTTATGTGGCACAAATTATTAAAGGAAGCAACGCCTTTGTAAAGCAATTGTTCTGTTTCACTCTTTTCAACAACTCTGACTGAAAGCACAGCGTGGACTTTTTTTCAGATCGCTTAGTGTGCATAATCTGGATTTAAAATCTGTGTTGATTACACTGAAATATATAAACTCCACGTGACAAAAACTGTATACTTTTTCTACTGAATTGCATAAAATGCAGGTGGTTTTTGAGGGGTAAGATCAAA